GTGCATCAGCCAAGAGGCCAAGTGTAGGTTTGACATGATAGCAGCAACCAAAATCAAAATACCACGAACTTTTCATACCAGAGGAGAAACTGAAAGCAAGAACTTGACGCAAGAGAGTCACGAGATTTTGGATTGAGGAAGCCATGACAAATCAACCCGATGGAAAAACCAATCACGCCGGTATAAATCACGAAATCATGAAATCAAATAGAACAATCCAACCGGTAACAATCACAAAATAGAATCAACTCCGATGACAAAACCAACCACACCACGACGTAGAGAACCAAAGTAGGAGGCAGCGGCCGAAGAACGACGGCCGGAGGAGGGCAGACATGCCGTCACAAGCGGCCGAAAGACAACGTCGGCGGAAGTGTTTTCCGCTGCGATTTCCGTTGGAGGCGCGTGTAGGCCGCATGTTCCACCGTTGGCAGAGATTTTTCGGCGGCAAGGTCGTCGGATGATGGCGGTTCTAACGGTATGAGCGGTGTCGAACAGAGAACGGCTATGGACAGCGAACAGCGGCGGCGGTGGCTAGGGTTTTGGTTTTGGAAAATCGGGCTCAGATACTATGTTAAAAATTTTTGGGGAAAATAATAAAATTGTCTTATTGATTATCAAAATAACGGGCCTATATATAGGTAATATAAAACATACTTTATAGACTAAAATCTAAGGAATATCCTTAAGCACATATATATGAGAAGCTGTACGGATGGCTACCTGTTTTTACTAAAGTTCCCTTAATAGTTTAACATTTTATATTTACATCAGCTGTACTTACCGGTAATATTGTGAGCAAGTATGACTAAATTTGTCAATTAATCCCTGTTGTCAGTTACATAGACGATATTGGGTGTTATTGAGGGTTGTGTTTTTCCAATTCTATTTGCTATTTTGTAGTGATTTACTTGTGCAAAATATATTAATATGGATATCATTTTGTAGATGGTAACATTTTCTTTGATACAATAACTTAGTTACAATATTCTAATGCTATGATATATAGAGAAATGCATTTGAAACTAACGCAGGGGTTTTCGAATTTTTTGGGTACGCAAAACAAAAAATATTTGAGTCCGACTGGACGGTTGAGGTTCAAAAAAGGAAGACATCCGAATTTGGGCTTGAAGGTAGTCTTAGAGTGGTAGCCGACCAATTCCGTCGACCACTTCATTTTTTTTCAAAATATCTATATTTATATTCTATATCTATTTAAATTTATACATTCATATTTATATAATGAAATTTTAAAATTTAATTTAGAAATTTGAAATATATCAATATATATATGAACAATAATTTTTCAATAATAGAGAAAAAATAAAGTAAAAAAACTATAATATCAAAAAATATTTTAAAATTATTATTATTTTTTTAAATTGGTTGGTTGGACTGTTATAAAAAAAATTATTTATATAATTAATTATATTTTTTTTCTCCCCTCTTTTTATTCGACCAACTCGTTCACCGACTTTCTTTTTGTTTCAAAAAATATCTATATTTATATTCTTTATTTATTTAAATTCATATATTCATATTCATATAATGTAATTTTTAAATTTTAATTAGAATTTTGAAATATATCAATAAATATTATTTTGTAGATAATGATTTTTAAATAATACAGAAAAAAAACTAAATAAAGAAAAGTATAATATAAAAAAATATATTGAAAAAAGAAAATTAAATTTTTTTAAATGGGTTGATTGCATAATTATAAATATATATATATGTATTTATATAATTCATTATATTTTTTTCTTTCTCCTTTCCATCCTATCATTCTCCTCGTTCTCATCCGATCAAGTCAGTCACTTTCTCTCCTCTTTCCATTCACTGTACGGTTCTACTCCTTCCATCCGACCAAATCAGTCACTTTCTCTCCTATTTTCATCCCAACCTATTGACGGTTCTCCTTTCATCCGACCAATTTGGTCAGACACTTTTTTGTTTTTTATTTTTTATAGTTTCTTCTTTATTCTCTCTTTGTAATGGTTTATTTATTTAAATTTATATATTCATATTCATATATTGTAATTTTTAAATTTTTAATTAAAAATTAAAAATATATCAATATATATATATATCATTTTGTGGCTATTGGCACACTTACAGTGCCATGGCATAAGAACTTAATATACACCTTCATGAAAGACTAATTAGTGGCTATTGGCACACTTAAAGTGCCATGGCATGACCAAAGTGCAACTTTGAGATAAAGACAAGACAAACTATACACACGGGCAATAGAGAAAACTAAACTACGGCGAAACATAAATAAGATGAAAAAAGTATGCAAACAGTTGACTTTTTTTCATCTTTTGAAACTATATAGGGTTCTTCTGTATTGAAACAGAATAAACACAGGAATCAATAAGAAACACAAAAACTCAAGAAGGATACAGTTGTGGATAAATTTCAAACACCTGCAAGACTGTTTGCTGCCATATTAGTGAATAAACAAAAACAAAGGAATCAGATGTATTAAAAGATAAGAATAGATGAACTGAAGAGAACTTTGGCCAAGGAAGCTTACCACCAGTTGCCAAACGTGAAATGGCTACCATCACCTACTCTCAGTCACTAAAGGCTGTTGTGAAGTTCAGAAGTCATCGCTATAAAAACCATGTGACTCTGAAGGATTGTATCTATCATCAAACTCCTAGAGCCCAGGACGAGAACTTCTACTCCCCATTGTTTTGTAAGATGAAGACAACAGATTTTAAGTCTATCATTGCCTTGAAAATGGAAGCTTCTATATGTATTTATTTATGTTGTTGTAAGCTTTTTGGTTGAATGTATGTATAAGGTTAGATAAACTTTCCAATTGCATTGAGATAATTTCACTGTCACTACAAAAAAAAATATACATTAGCCAAGGATTTTTGTAAAGAATTTTATATCCCTCGCAAATACCGATGAATTTTGTTTTTACGAAGAAATTTTGTAAGGGAATTAATTAATTCGTAATTAACGAACATAATTTGCAAGGAATTTAAAAATTCCTTGCGAAAGATTTATATTCCCTCACAAAATTACAAATTAGTATTTTTATTAATAAATAATATTTTTTAAATTATTTTTAAAAAGGATCAAAAGTTAAAAAAAAAAAATTCTTAATAAATTTTAGATTTTATTAAATTAATAACAAAATAATTATTATAAAAATTTATAAAATATAATATAATTTTTTATTAAAAAATACAAATATTTTTAAATAAAAAAATAAATATATTTTTATATAACAAATAAAATACTTATTTTATTATATTAGTATTATCATTTTTTTAATATAAAAAACAAATAATAATATAAAATAATTTTAATTACAAAAATATTATTAAAATTATTGATACCAAATATATTAGTAGTAGTGTCCTGCTTAGTGTTGTAGCAATCAGGTGGAGATCGATCGATCGATCGATCGATCGATCATGGATGGGGAGATTTGATATGATGTTGGTGCCACGAGGAGGAGAGCGCCACAGCATCCTCATCCTCATTCTTCTATCTATTATGTTTTCTGTAACCGCCTTTGTTGCCGATCCCATCCCTAATCCCATCCCCAATCCCATGCCCGCTCCCGCCGGCCCCGTCGTCGCTTACGATTCGCGTTCCCTTATCATTAACGGAAGTAGAGAGCTGCTTTTCTCTGGCTCCATTCATTATCCCCGAAGTACTCCCGAGGTAGGTCCCTCTCTCTCTCTCTCGCTCAAGTCTCTTGATCTGCAGAACTGCATTGTTGTTCTTATTATTCATTTATTTATTGGTTAGATGTGGCCCGACATCCTTAGGAAGGCAAGGGAAGGTGGACTCAACGTCGTTCAGACTTACATCTTCTGGAACCTTCACGAGCCTGCTGAAGGACAGGTACCATATTATCATTTCATTTCATTTGTTTGGTTCAATCGATCCTTCACGAGCCTGCTGAAGGACAGGTACCATATTATCATTTCATTTCATTTGTTTGGTTCAATCGATCGATAGATCTCCACTTTGGATCATGTCGTCACTCATTCATCAATCAATGCATATCAGATTAACTAATTAATTGTTGATGCTCTGTGGTGTGTTTTGCAGTACGATTTTTCAGGGAATAAGGATTTTGTCAAATTCATTAGAATGATTGGCGATCAAGGGATGTGGGTGACACTCAGATTGGGTCCATACATTGAATCCGAATGGAATTTGGGGTGGGTGCTGCATACCTCCATCTCAATACAATACTATATCAGATCACTCACTCACTCACGCACTGCACAGCACACACTCTGTATATTTTTAACTTGAGATATATTCGTATATATAATTTGATGAGCAGAGGATTTCCATACTGGCTGAAAAACGTTCCCAACATCACATTCCATACTTATAACGAGCCATTCATGGTAGGTAACCAACCAATATTTTTAAATTCAATTATTTGCTGGTTTATTATTATAAATATAAATCATCACCACGTCCGCCATCATCCTTTATGATCTTGCATGGATGCAGTTCCACATGAAAAGATACACAGAAGATGATTAACGTGGTGAAGGAAGCCAAGCTCTTTGCGGATCAAGGAGGCCCCATCATAATGGCACAGGTAGGTGTGGGTGTATGTATACATATACAACAATTAGTAATCTCCAATGAATTAGAGATTGATTTCTGGTTGATGCATGGCATGGCAGATCGAGAACGAGTATAACAACGTGAAAGATGCTTACGAAGAGGGTGGATAGAAATACGTGGTGTGGGCTGCAGAAATGGCCACGAGTCTGTACAATGGTGTGCCCTGGATCATGTGCAAGCAGGATAATGCTCCTCCTTCAATTGTATGCATTCATTCATCTAATTAATTACCTCTTGTTTGTTTGGATCATCATCATCATCATCATCATTCATGATCTTGATCAGATAAGCACTTGCAATGGAAGGCAATGTGGAGATACGTTCAAAGGGCCAGGGCCTAACAAGCCTTCCCTGTGGACTGAGAATTGGACTGCGCAGTACAGAGCATGGTTCGCCGTCGCGGATCGGCGTCGCGGATCGGCCTTTACCGTTCCAGATACGTCGCGGCGTATCGGTCGCGGTGTATCGGTCAAATATCGGCCTATATGATTTTTTTATATAAAATTTATATTTTTTCAAAAAAATAATAAATAATTAATTAAAATACATCAAATTATAAATATAATTAATTTAAAAATATATATTATTGAAAAAATATATTATAATTTATAATAGATCAAAATTTAAAATGAATAATATTTCAACTAAATTAGCGGATATATATATATAAATGTAAATGCTAAATTTTATGTTTTGCATATTGTCATTATACTAATAAATTTATTTTAATAACAAAATGATGTACCTTGTGTCCGTCAATGTCAAGATTTCATCTTTATCATCTGCATTATATAAATAAAAATAATTAGAAAAAAAATACAAATAAAATTTTATAAAATGTTCAAACTACGTTTATACTAAATATTTATACTTACCATTCAATACCATGTGGAATGTCGTGGAGGTTCAAAATCATTTTCATCTGGATTCATATTGCTTGGATAAGGAGAGATGTTCGAACCATATTGATTTTCTCTGAATGAACCCCTTCCATATACATCAAAACCTCGATATTCTCTATTATCATTGCTTCTGCTTGATGAACCATAATTTTGTCTACGATCATCAATACTACCCGAACCAGATGTAATCCCTCCGTAATATGTTCCAACTGGTTGGTTGGATCCAAATATAGGAAGATTGGCTGAATCCTGAAGATGTCTGGGTAGATTAGATAAACCGTATCCTGAGTAATAGGGATTATGATATGCATTTGGTTGGTCCCACTCCTGTCTCCCCAATCTATTACTCGAGCTATGAGAAGAATCTCCATAGGAATAACCTATATTCAAGTCTTGCATATGTTCGTGAACTCCAGAATATCTCCTAGTATCTGAAAAATTTGAAGCATCGGCTTCACTTGAAAATTCTGTTAAACTATTTAGAAAATCTCTTTGAGCTTCTATACCAGGACGATATCCATGATCAGTGTCTTGGGTAGCATAATAATTTTCATTTCCTTGAGCCCATCCCATATCACTTGAGTATCGGCTATCCCTGTAGCTCCCACTACCACCACCACCACCACCACCACCACCACCACCACCACCACCACCACCATCATCATCATCATCATCATCATCATCATCATCATTGTTATTATTCTTATCTTCACCATTAGTCGATGAAGATGAAGATTCCAATATGATTGCTTTTTTTTTTCTTGGCTGTATTTTTGTTTTCTGATTTTTTCTCTTTCGCCTTCTTTTTTCCATCAGCTATAAATTGAGATAAAAGCATATCACTGTCATGATCATTATGCTCACTTTGACCTCGATCTCCACTTTCTTCAATAGCCTCATCCAACCAATTCAAATCACTATCATGAATAAGTGGAGATTCATTTTCTCTAACCCATTCATCTAAAATATCATTTTCATCAAAAATATGATTCAAATCAATTGGGTCATAAAAATCGTCTGTGTCTGTCCTTTGCATAAAATTTTTTACCCGAAGACGCATGTTGTAGTGGACATAGACTAGCTTATGCAGTTTCTCAATAGCTAATCTATTCCGAAGTTTAGTATGGATCAAAGCCCACGTACTCCAATTCCGCTCACAACCCGATGATGTGCAAGTTTGACTCAAAACTTTTAATGCAATTTTTCTTAAATTAGGAGCTTCATCACCGTACATATTCCACCAGTCAGCTATTAAAAATAAATAAAAAATTATTAATAATGCAACATTTTATAACAAGTATATTTAAAAATATAATTAAATGATAAATTTCATAATACATACCTGGTAAAGATGTAGATACAGCTCTAATAGCAAGTGCACTTCCAAACTCTCCAATTTTGTTAACAAATATGTTTATCTATAGACAATATAATAGTAAAATTATTAGAAATTAATATATATATATATATATTCATATATTATTTATAAATTTCACATAATTTACCTCATTCATAGCCTTTACTTGTATATCCAAATCTGGCTCGAGTCTTTTGATAACTTCTTTTACTCCTTTTCGAACCTCCGATGAATCAAATTCACAAGTGCCGGAGTATTGAAGACCAGGATTTAAAAAATAAGCTGCATGAAATGTATATAAAATTAAAAAATAAAACAAACGATTAGCACAATATAAAAACAAAAAAATAACAAGAATAGTTACCTGCTGCATGCAAATCTTGATGCAATTGATTATACCATCTTTCATCGATGATATCCCAATATTGTTGAAAATCTTTCACTGCGGTTTTTATTGCCATTTTTGCCCTATCCATTGCCTCATAAATGATAGGTAGTGTAGGTTTTTTATCTTGATCAACTACTTTTAAAACCTTCACTAAGGGTTCCATGACCCCACAGACTCGGCGTATCCGTTTCCAAAATCTTTCATTCAAAATCAAGTCTGATATATCTCCGGCTTCATGTCTTCTCCTCGAGGTATTATTGTACTCAACCCATTCTCTAGAAGTACACATTCTTTTCAAATCGGTTGCATATCTCAGAAGACTTTCCATTGCAACAAACTCGGTTGCAAATCTTGTTATGCCTGGTCGCAACAGATCTCGGCCATTCGTATATGTTTTCATCAAATTAACCACTTTATCACTGTTGTATATAAATCCTGTAATTCTTCTGGCTTCTTTTATCGTATCTTTCACTGACAATATATCTCCGATGTCTTCTAACATCAAATCAATGCAATGCGCTGCGCATGGAGACCAAAAAATGTGCTTCCTTTTCCTCATCAGTTTTTTCCCAGCCGCCTTTATACTAGCTTCACTATCAGTTACAATTTGTACAATATTGTCAACCCCTACTGATTCCACCACCTTATCCATTAGGGTGTAGACAAAGTCCGCAGTCTTCGCCTTATTTGTACAATCAACCGAACTGTGATATATCATATCTCTATCACAGTACACCATAAAATTTATGATTGGATGTTTTGTACGAGTACTCCAACCATCACACATAATTGTACATCCGTATGTTTTCCATTTCTGCTTTAAAGAATCAACATACTGTACAACTTCTTGCATCTCCTCGTTTAAATATTCACCACCAATTTGTTTACCAGTAGGTCCTTTAACTCCAGGTCCAACCGATGCAATCGTGTCAATCATCGTTTGGTAGTAAGGACCACTATCGGCAGCGTGAAATGGTATTGCATTAAAATGAAAAAATTTTGAAATTGCTCTACCCACTTTTTTTGCATTATCTTTTGAAAACATATTTTTCAAAGACTTATTCTTCGATTGAAACATGTATGGATCAAGTTTTTTTGATGCAAACCTTCTGTCTTTTTCATAGAGCTTTCGAAAAAATTTCTTCTACTTCCTTTTGTATTCGAGCTGCTTCCTCCTACAAAGATAAAAAAAAAAAAAAAGCATATGATCATATATGGTTGTTATCTCAAAAAAAATATACTAATATTTAAATATATTTTATAAATTTAATAAATATACCGGCTTTAAAATTCAAGCTTGGTAGATCTCCGGAAACAGAATGTCTACGCTGCTGCTCCATAAATTCCATATTTCTGCTTTCAGCCATTGCTCTTTTTAAGTGTTTTCTTTCAAAAGCATCTATCTCATCTTCATTTATTTCAAAAACTTCATCTTCTTCCTCATCAGAATCATCTTCCAAACGAATGGAATTTTGCAATGCTTCTAACTTTTTTTTATGTGCTGCTCGCATACTTTTTCCTTGGATCAAGTGTTTTTTTAATAACTCTCTTATTTCTTTTGGAGCTCTCGTGCATGCTTCAACTTGACCTGTAACATGTGCTATATGTTGTTTCATCCTAGTAATTCCGCCGTGAACAATTTTACCACAATAATTGCATTTTGCTTGTTTTCTATCATTGCTGATAGGAGTAGCATGATCCCAACCAATATCTCTGTGCGGTGCCATTTTACACAAACTCTGTAATTGAATAATACAATTGTTAAAATATTTATAAATAGTAATTCATTAATTAAATAGACAAATTATATATTAGTTTATTAATAAATCAAACTTATACAAAAATTTAAGTAGATAACTAATTTGTTTATATAAAAAATATAATTAAAATATTAATTTTTTACAATAAATTTACAATTAATACAAATTTTGTCTAAAATAATATTAATTTTAAATAATAAGATTATAAGTTATTCTAAAATATTAATTTTAATGAACTCAATTTATATAGATTAAATAAAAATTAAATACAATCCAACACAATTAAACTAAATTTATCAATAAATTAAACAAATTATTCTAAATAATTAAATCTAAAATAATTAAACCTATAAATTAAATAAACAAATTAATAAAAAATAATTCAAATTATCTTCACCGACGCAGAATCCTCCCCCACGATTTTCTTCACCGACGCAGAATCCCCTCCCCCACGATTTTCTTCACCGACGCAGAATCCCCTCCCCCACGATTTTCTTCACCGATGCAGAATCCTCCCACTTCTTCTTCCCCTCCCCCACAATTCTTCTTCAGACGCGAACGCATCCCCCACAATTCTTCTTCAGACGCGAACGCATCCCCCACGATTTTCTTCACCGACGCGAACGCAGAATCCTCCCACTTCTTCTTCCCCTCCCCCACAATTCTTCTTCAGACGCGAACGCAGAACAGAGGTCTTTCCTCCACGATTCTTCTTCAGCGCACTGGTAAATGTTTTCTTCTCCGATCTGATCGAATTGAGATGAATTGTTCGAATAATATGAATAAAAAGTAGAAAATCGGTAAGAATAAGATTTATAATGGGTTTTATAGATAAGATATGAATGGATGGGAAAATTTTGGGCAAATATCGGATATTTTTGACGAATCGGAACGGTCCTGACCGTTCCGGTTCCGGATCGGCCGAGTCGGACCGGACTCGGCCGATCCGGCGAACCATGGTACAGAGTGTTCGGTGACCCTCCTTCTCAGAGGTCTGCTGAAGACATTGCCTACTCTGTTGCTCGTTTCTTCTCTAGGAACCAACTACTACATGGTAGGTGGTTTCTACCCACATACACATATAACAAAACAAAGACTATCACTCCTCCATTCTTCCTTCTTTCTTTTACCTATCTATCTAACAATAATCCCTTTCATCTATATCTATGTCTATATCATCAGTACCATGGAGGAACCAACTTTGGCAGAACGGCTTACTCTTTTGTCACCACCCGCTACTACGACGAGGCTCCATTGGATGAATATGGTAAGTACACACACAAACACAAAAGCATGTACATATGATATTATATCCACACCACATCTATCTGCCTGATCGATTAGTAGTAGTAGTAGTAGTAGTAAGTACTTGTGACTAAAAATAAATATGTGGGCGACAGGTTTGCTGAGGGATCCTAAATACGGGCACTTGAGAGACTTGCACAGGGCTATGAGGTTGAGCATGAGGGCATTGCTGCGGGGCAACCAAAATGTGCAGAAGATTTCCAAAGACTTGGAGGTACGTACAATACTAGTATACCTAGCAAATACAGCTAGCTAGCTAGTCTTGTTTTGTTAGTCAGTCAGTCCTCACTCACCTATGCATGCAGATAACAACGTACGACAAGCCTGGAGATCCCACTATCTGTGCGGCATTCCTGACCAACAACAATACAAGAGAAGATCGGACTATCAATTTCAGGGCTGTGGATTATTTCCTCCCCGCTAAGTCCATCAGCATTCTCCCTGACTGCAAGACCTTAGTTTCAACACCCAAATGGTAATAATCGATATTTTATTTTTGTTTCTTACCCCATCTCAGATCAGAACAATAAGCAGCAGCCAGTACTTCAGATCTCTCTAATTAATTAATTAATTGATAAAACTTGCACAGGTGGTGGCACAGCATAGTTCTAGAAACTTCGTTCCCTCAGTCAAAGCAAAGATCACCAGATGGGAGATGTTCAGAGAAAAAATCCCAAACTTTAACGAGTTATCAATAAAGAGCATCCGTCCAATGGAAATGTGCTCTATCACCAACGACACCACCGGCTACGCTTGGTATAGCACCATGTACGTATTCTATTCTATACAATTCAAATATATGGTATGATATGATTCTTCCTGTAATATATATGAAATTTAATGTCATTTTGGAATCTATTGGCTGGCTGGCTTTCATTACGATGTGATACCAATAATTTGGTATTTTCTGAATTGATGGAATGTTTCCCTCATATTTCGTTTACTTTTTGATATTATTTGAATTGATGGAATGTTTGCTTTATTTTATGTTATCATATGGCATTGGAGATGGAGTTTATTTTGTTTACATGGTGCTTACTATTTGGATGGTTAAAATGATTTCTTATAATGTTATTTTGTACTTGTTTGAGACAAGTATACGAATTTAAAATAAATATATCGCTAGTTTGTAATTATTTTGGAAGTATAGGAATTTGAAATGAACTAGTGATGATAATTTGTAAAATGATTTGCGATGGATATTTGAGAATGAATGAATTCCCTTGCAAATTTCGAATCAATTTGCGATGTATATTTGCGAAGGAATGAATTTCCTCGCAAATTTTGAATCAATTTGCGATGGATATTTGCGAAGGAATGAACTTCCTCACAAATTTTGAATCAATTTGCGATGGATATTTGCGAAGGAATGAACTCCATCGCAAATTTCGAATCAATTTGTGAAGGAAAACTATATCTTCGCAAAATTCCTTCGCAAATATTTGTGAAGGAATCGATGCTTCGCTAAATTTCCTCACAAACATTTGCGAGGGAGTTTTTCTTCGGATCCAAATTAGCGAGCAAGTGTATAGCAATGACATGTATTTCTTCGCAACTTCCCTCGCTAACATGTTTTGCGAAGGAAATAATTTGATTTGCGAGGGAATTTTTCTTTCGCAAATCAAGAGTTTTTTTGTAGTGTGTGTTTGGTGATGAATATATTGCCTGAATATATAGGATTACAACACAATAGGATCCACAAATTGTGAAGATAAATATGGAAAATATACAAGGATCCACAATTTGTGGAGATAAATATGGAAAATATACAACAGATAGAAATCCTATTTTTATGCTCTATTTACTCGTATTACCCCCCGTCAAGCATTGCGTGGGGTGAAAGCAAACGCAAAGCTTGGATCTTAGAAGTTCAAAGGAAGGTCTAGGTAGACTCTTTGTGAAAACTTGAAGATCAGAACGAATGAACTGCATTAGTAACTTCCCGGACGAAACGAGCTCTCGAATAAAATGACAATCGATGTCAATGAGCTTAGCACGCTTGTGCACCACAGGATTTTGGCTTAGAAAGATGGCACTTTTATTATCGCACAAAAGCAAAGGTTGACCCGTATAAGATTGACGAAGCTCCCGAAGTAGGTTCGTGAGCCAAACAATCTCTGAAGCAACATTAGCCAATGATCTGTACTCAGACTCGTAGCTTGAACGAGCCACTATTGGTTGTTTCTTTGCATTCCAAGAAACAAGATTACCTCCCAGAAAAATAGAGTAGCCATAAATGAACTGACGAGTTTCGACACATCTTGCCCAATCTGCATCCGAGTAACCCATTATCGACTTCTCCAGATGGTGACTGAAGTTTAGACCAAAACAAATTGTTCCTTTCACATAACGTGAAATCCGTTTGACAGCAAGAAGATGTGCATCAGTAGGACTCTGAAGGAATTGACTAACGGAGTTCACTGCGAAGGATAGATCAGGCCGTGTAATAGTAAGATATTGTAACGCACAAACCAACGACCGATAAAGTGTCGGATCAGAAAACGAAGTACCAGTGCTGACCAAGGATTCGCCGGCAGCTAAAGGAGTAGAAACGGGTTTTCAATCCAATAAGTTAGCTCGTTTCAAAATATCATGAGCATATTTAGCTTGACCCACAAAGAGACCAGTGGATGTGTAAGAAATCTCAAGGCCCAGAAAAAAACTCAATTTGCCGAGATCTTTGATGGAGAACTCAGCATGAGTTCTAGCGATAAACCGCTGAAGCATGCCTGGATCATTTCCGGTAATAATGATATCATCCATATAAAGTAGAAGATATAAAATGGAAGGACCCTTATGAAGACAAAATAAAGAGGAGTCAGACTGTGTTCGCCAGAAACCCAATTTCAGCAAGTAGGAGCTGAACCACTGAAACCAAGCCAAAGGAGCTTGATGAAGACCATATAATGCCTTTTGGAGGCGACATACCTGATCCGGATAACGTGGATCAACAAACCCGGGTGGTTGAGCCATGTAGACTGGCTTGTTGAGAACTCCATTTAAGAATGCGTTCTTCACATCCAACTGATGTAGGGACCAACTGTGATGCACTGCAATGGCGAGTATAGTGCGTACAGTTGTGGCCTTGACAACAGGACTGAAGGTGTGATGAAAATCAGCACCAGGAATCTAAGTGAATCCCTGAGCTACCAGGCGAGCTTTATGTCGTTCAATAGAGCCATCCGAGCGATATTTCATTCGAAACACCCATTTCGAGCCCACAATATAAGTGTTGGGAGGCGGCGTTACCAACTCCCAAGTTCAGTTCTCCATTAAAGCGTCGATTTCCTCGTGCATCGTAGACATCCAATGAGGAGACTTGGCAGTAGACTTGAAACCCCGAGGATCACTGGCAAGAGCCAAAGAAGACAGCATAGTCGTAGACGCAAGATCAACCGGATATTTTGGTTTGAAAATACCCTCCCGAGCTCGTGTTACCATCGGGTATTGAAGCAAAGGCGGTGGCAAAGGAGCTGCCGGTGGAGATGGCGCCACCGGTGGTGAAGGCGGCGCCGGCGGTAAAGGTGGTGCAATGTCAGGTTGAGGCTCCGGTAGTGCGGGAGCATCAACTGGGTCCGCCGGTGCTAAAGGAGTAACCGCCGCAGGAACGTCTTCCCCATCACCAAGCAAATCAGTCTCCAGATGAAGATGACATGGAGAAATGTGTGAGAGCGGATCAGGTTGTGGAAGGGTTGTAGGAACAGCCGGATCGAAGAAGCTCGAAATAGGAAAATTAGTTGCATATGAAGTGGCATCTCCAGAGAAAGGGAAAACTTGCTCATCAAACTGGGCATGACGAGTAACATAGATGTGTGTGGAGGCAGGGTCGAAGCATCGAAAACCCTTATGAACACTGTTGTATCCCCAAAAAATGCATGGACGACTGCGTGGAGATAACTTATGAACTGCATAATCCCGAAGAAAAGGGAAAACTCGACACCCGAAGGGTTTAAAAATAGCATAATCCGGAGCATAGTGGAATTATAACTCATATGGAGATTTATTTGCTAGCATGGCTGAAGGCAACCGGTTAATAATATAAACAGCAGTGGCAAAGGCCTCAAACCATAAAGTTGCAGGTGTAGAAGCACGGAACAACATAAAAAGACCAGTTTCAGTGATATGTCTGTGCTTTCGTTCAGCTTGACCGTTTTTCTGTGGAGTATACGGACAAGAAATACGATGAAAGATTCCATGGTTAATCATAAAATCAGCAACACGGTTATTCACAAATTCAGTACCCCCATCAGACTGAAACACCCTTAAAGGACGAGAAAATTGCGTGCAAACAAAAGTGTGAAACCGAACAAAACATCATAAAATTCTGATTTCGTACGCAACGGATAAAGCCATGAGAATCGAGAAAAAAACATCCATAAACACAACATAGTAACGAAACCCGGCAGAAGAAGTAATAGGGGCAGGTCCCCACTAGTCACAGTGCACTAAATCAAGCACACCTGAAGCACGTTTTTCATTTAAAGAAAAGGGCAATTTTTTCATTTCCAAGTTGCAAAGCGTGGCAATTTGGAAAGCTAAATAGAAAAGCATTCTCCAACACCACTAGCAGGGCAACAAGAAAGTTGCAATTAATCCACACAGATGTTTGCGGACCTCAAAGAACACCATCATTCAATGGTAGCATCTATTATATTATCTTTATTGATGATTTTACTAGAATGTGTTGGATATTTTTCTTGAAATATAAATCAGAGGTGGCTCAAGTTTTTTGGAAATTCAACACAAGAGTTGAGAATGAAAGCGGCTACAAAATTCAAAGGGTGAGATCTGACAATGGAAAAGAGTACACTTTTGCAATATTCAACCAATTTTGTGAAGATGTTGGCATTGAACATCAACTTATTGTTCCATATGCTCCGCAACAAAATAGAGCTAGTGAGAGAAGAAACAGGTACATTATGGAGATGTCAAGGTGTATGCTGCATGAAAAGAATTTGCCAAAGAATTTTTGGGCTGAAGCTGCAAACACTGCTGTGTTTCAAAGGCATTGAACGATCTTACACCTTTTGAGGCATGGCATGGTTATAAACCACCTTTGAAGTTCCTCAAAATATTTGGCTGTCTATGTTTCTCTTATGTTGCACAGAACAAACGTGATAAGCTAGATAGAAGAGCATCGCCAGAGTGGAATTGGGACGATGCACAAACAAAAAGTCATACAAGGACAAGTTTGAAATTCAAACTTCCAGGTTCAAGCAATGATGAAGAAGAAGATCTACATAATGAAAATGTAGATCATGTACCTGTAAGAGGAACAAGATTGTTCTTTGAAATTTATGAAAGGTGTAACATTGCCTTGTGTGAACCTTCAAATTTCAATGATGCTCGATCTTATCAAAGGTGGATGACAGCAATGAAGGAAGGAGTTGTCTGTGATTGAGAAAAACAACACTTGGTTGTTGGTTAATCAGCCTCAAGACAAGGATGCAATTGGTGTCAAATTATACCGAACGAAGTTGAATGCCGATGGCTCCATAAATAAACATAAGGCAAGACTCGTGGTGAAAGGTTATGCTCAAGTTCCTGGTGTGGATTACTCAGAAATATTTGCACCAGTTGCTCGTTTAGACACCATAAGGCTTATACTTGTTGTAGCTGCTCAAATAAATTGGAAGGTGTTTCAGTTTGATATAAAATCAGCTTTCTTGAATGGTATCTTGGAGGAAGAAATTTATGTCCAACAACCTGAAGGATTTGTAAGAGAAGGAGAAGAGAGCAAGGTGTTTCTTCTCAAGAAGGTCCTATATGGATTGAAACAAGCTCCACGAGCTTGGTATTCCAGGATAGATGATCATTTGTTGCGTTTAGACTTTGAGAAAAGCTTATCTGAGGCCACTCTTTATGTTAAGCATTAGAGAAATGATATTTTAATCGTCTCTCTTTATGTGAATGATCTTTTGTTGACAAGAAATAACATGCAGCTGGTTGATAAATTTAAGGAGGAGATGGCGGAAGTCTTTGAAATGATTGATCTTGGATTAATGACCTTTTTCCTGGGAATGGAAGTAAAGCAGGATGAACATGAAATCTTCATTTGTCAAAGGAAATATGCCAAAGAGATTTTGAAGATATTCAAACTTAATGAATGCAAAAAAGTCAGCACCCCTATGAATCAAAAAATGAAGTTATGCAGAGATGATGGCATTGATAAAGCTGATGAGGGGTACTTTAGAAGTTTAATTGGATGCTTGATGTATCTTACATTATCACGGCCTGATATTTTAAATGCTGTGAGTATCTTATCTAGGTTCATGCACTGTGCAACTGAACTACACTTGAGAGCTGCTAAAAGGGTGGTAAGATATATCAAAGGCACATGTGATTTTGGTGTGAAATCACTCGATGCAAGGATTTCAAATTGGTTGGTTTTTCTGATAGTGACTGGGGAGGCTCTGTCGATGATATGAAGAGCACCTCAGGCTATTGTTTTATTCTTGGCTCTGGTATTTTCTCATGGGGTTCCAAAAAACAAGATGTCGTAGTGCAATCCACTGCCGAAGTTGAGTTCATCGCTGCAACAGCTACTGTCAACCAAGCAATATGGCTAAGAAAAATCCTAAGAGATCTCCAACTTCAACAAATTAGGGAAACCGAGATTCATGTTGATAATAAAGCTGCTATAGCGATCTCTCACAATCCAGTCTTTCACAGAAAAACCAAGCACTTCAACATCAAATCTGTTCTACTTGAGGGAAGTTCAAAAACAAGGAGATGTTATTCTTGTTTATTGCAAAACAGATGAACAACTAGCTGATATTTTTACTAAGCCATTATCAGCGGCTAGATTTGAGTCATTATGCATGAAGCTTGGTGTTTGCAGATTCTAAAACAAGGAGGAGTGTTGATTGCTGTGTTTTAGAATTAATTAATAATTATTTACGTAGTCAATTCTATTTTTATGGAGTTGTTAGTAGGGGAGTCAAGTGCAGTTGAGGTACCTAAAATTTAGGGATAGTTTGTTATTTCTTTATTTTATATATTTGTATCACATTCCAGTAAATAAACACACGGGGGAGTATTTTTCCTTCCGGGATTGTATCTCTTTTGTGCTCTTCGAGTATTTAGCTTTGTTCAATTTCCAACAGATTACAACATGAAATCAAGTGAAAGATACATCAAAAAAATATATAGACCTATTTATGACTTACCTCATGTAACCCTCAAATCTTCAATAAAGCAATCATATAAAATAAACGTTGTAACTTCCTTTAGGGATTTAAAATTCCTCGTCCCACCAGCGTGGGTGTAATACTGAAATATTTTTAACTAAGTTAAGAACCAGTCCAACTACTATTTATGATATTTATATTTCAATTACGTAAAAAGAATGTTTAGTAAGATAGGTACCTTATCCCTTTGTTCGGAATAGTTGTACTTTCTCTGCTCTACTACCCAATCACCCAGTCTTTTAAGTAACAGAAGCCCACTCCTAGGATGGATGTGGGTTAGGTTAAATACACAAACTAAAGACATCATGGCAATTTGCTCCCCCAACGTGAGAATTCTCATTGGTACTTCATGCATGTACTTTGGATTGATATCTTGTAATCCTCCCAGAATCAACCTATTGAAACATTATTAGAAAATTAAAATTTTACATATTATATGCTATTGTGTGCGTACCTCATGCACTTCTAATATGTAGCAATTTAAATTTTCTTGGAGAAGTCCAAAAAATATTCTCCATCTCTTCTCTAGGGTGGTTGTGGATAAACGGTGTGAACTCCTTTGAAGGATCCTGTTAATTGAAGAGAAATCAGTTTGTTCCTACAAAATAAATGTCCATTACTAATTAGAGATTTAATACAATTGAAAAGAATGAAGCAAATCAAATTAAGTATGATATTTTGGCAGTAGCTAATATTATAGTTGAAAAGTATATAACACGACTAGAATTTTCTTCGAAAATTGTCACGATCTAACAAGGTAAAATGTTCTAAGTTTAACAAAAATTTTGTTTCATATCTAATAAAGATCATTTTAGCTTTTTCAAAATGTACCTATTCAATGACTTCGACACACACATACACACACAAAACATTGGTGTTTCATATGAATTATGTTTTCAAAGGAAGTGTTTTAAATTGTTCCGAGAGTGAGAAGAATATCCACAAAGAGGGTTGTGTGAAGCAAAAAAAAAATGAAGAGTTTTTTGTTTTCAGATTAATTATTGAAATTCATGGTTGAAATAAACATAAGTAGAGGAAATTATTTGAGCCTTATGTCTGCATAAGTATATTTCGAAGAACAATTGCGACACGTTGGCTGGTGTGGTGTCTAAGAATTACTATTGAGCTTTAGAACTAATGTTAGGCCACAAATATTTTAGTATAATAGTTATAATTTTTCATGTTTTCATCTATTTATATATTTTTTTGTAAGGTACAAATATTAGACTAGAAGGTAACACGAAAGTTAATTTTCTAAAGATATCATTGTTTCTGGAATTAATGTAGGTCCTTTAAATATGACACTTCCTCGAAAAGCATTTCTTAAGATATATTCAGTTTTATTAATATTTGTAATCCTATGAAATATTGGTATACAATTATTTCCTTCAAAACACTATTATTTTCTCATGTTCTTTGAAACAAATATGAAATTAGTGACATCGTACTTTTTTTAACAAAAACAGGTCAATACAAAAAACACATGTTAATTTTGTTAACATGTCATACTTGAACCAGCATTCTAAAATAAATTATATGAGAAAGAAAAGAGTAACCTGAAAAGGTGTATGTATTTGACACCAGTGGTTCAATCACTTGTGTTGGGTAAGTATATGAAATCGATTGCGGACAAGGTGGCATACTAGAAACACCTGAAGTCATATTTACTCTTGTATTCTGTAACATATGAATAGACATATTTATGCCTGTGAAATCTGAATGCATACAAGACTTGCTATTTTCAATAGCTTATGAAGTTAAATGGGTAAGCGAATAAGTTTATAATGGAGTGATATCAAAAGGTAGACTTAATCTATTATTGGACATGGTAAACTCATTCATCAAATGCGAAATGAAATTTAGTTTTCGTAAGTCGTCGAATCCAAAAACGAGTTGGGAACTAGAAGCCACAAAGGGTAAAAGGAAAATTTTGATTATGTCAATGAATGAGTAATTCAATAATGGAAGTAGTCCTAAATTTAACACATATTTTCCATTATGGTGAAAACGAACATTAATAGTTGATTTTCATCTACTAGTAGTGATAATTAAAAATTCAACATTTATTAAACATGAATTAAGGGCACTTATTTAGTTTTTGTAGTTTTTACTTTGGCTTTTATAATTTATTTAAATGCCCTCCGTTTGTAATTTTAAGAGAGATTTAGTTTCTAATTTCCTCTAATTTTAAAATCACAGCAACTTTCACAACCCGTGCAACACACGTGGTGAGTGTAATGAATTTCTGATCGTAAAAATCAAGTCAACAACTAATGTACAAATAAAAAAATTGCTTTTTTAAAATGTTAGCCAAGATCATCATTAAATGGAAGACATAAGTTAAAAAGGATGCATTGTTATACTAAGATAAATGACAATTAATTCAAGCGATAACAATGATCAAAAGCTAGATTTTGTGTTAAACAAACCAACAATAGTAACATGTGTCCAGAAGTGGTTCTTAACTTGGTCTCATCATTTTCAACATATATTAATATAAACATCTGTTCAAAATTTAAAAAAAAAAAGATAAAATTTCATATTTGTGTTGCTGCAAAATATTAATCTCAACAACTTCAATAAATATTAAATATAATTCCTAGGCGAAAGCCATAGCTAAATATTAGATATCATTCAATAAATATTATATCATTTATATGAACAAAAATTTCACATAAAGAATTTAATAATGTAACCCATAGCTAAAAATAATAAATTGAATGAGATGCAAGCAAGCCACATGCCACAATTCCTTAACTCGACTTAAAATAAGTGCAAACTACTATAAGATCAGGGCAGCAGTACAAATGGCATAGCATTTTGTTGGTGACTATACCTTTTTCAATTTAAACTCTAGCGCCACGTTCTTGTAATAAAATCTCTGCAGTAATTTCAAAAACATAAATTGTTAGTTTTTATCAAACAATTAAGATTCGGAAGTCCTTTCTAATACGATTAAATGTCATACATATATAAAAGTACCTTTTGACAAAATATAAATTCTAAACTTTATTTGATCGAAATGTAAGAATAAATGTATTAAACCTAGTTTTCCATTTAGAAGCCCAAATCTTTTCTGTTAACTATTTTTAGTTTTATATATTATTTTCACAACTTCAGATTTTTTTGTCAACACAATCAAACAGAACTTCACTGTATGTATGAAATCTAACCTTTACAAAACCTGGTTGGTAACCTACTAGATTTTTAACAAGCTGAATCTCCTCCAAAGAAAAACTCACACAAACACAAATTCCCGTCACACTAGATCGAATAACACAAACACAAGAAATCTTAAAACCAGATAAGTAAATGAATTCTAGGTAACACAAAATTACACACGCAAATGATGTAAAGAGAGCCAATTAGGTACCAACAAAATACAAATCTAGAAATTACTGTGAAACTTTGAATAACGTGAAATATCCAGTAAGAACACACAAATTAATTTTTAATTGACTGTGAATATATATAAATATGGAGTTTGGAGAAAATTTCAGATTTTTTATCTAACCTGACAAACTTGAGTGTGACAAGGAAGAAAAAATGACAACTTATAAATTTTTAGAAACATAAGAAAATGACTACTTTGCCTTTTGAAACCTAATAAAATTTGGGACATGATAAAATTTTGTTAATATTGAATTTTATTAATAATCCCCTAAATTTAATTATATGAATGATAAATATAATTCCAAAAAAAATCATTATATTTATTAATAGTTACCAACTATTTTTTATGGATAGTTTTAAAGATTATGTTCGTTAAATTTAGAAACTTTTAAGATTTTACATTGAATATATATAATATTATTTTTTCTGAAGTACATTGAAATTTATATAAAAAATTTTGAGCACTAGTATTAAATTTTAAATATTATTTCCATAATTCCAAAGGTTAAATTTATAATAACTCTTTGTGTTTTTAGTAAAAATGCAGAAAATACATCATATATTGCTATTGCATCAAAACCCCCAAGTGTTAAATTAAATTACACACAAAACACTTTCGTTGTCCAAATCCGATGCTTGATTGTAAACGTCCACCTAATTATAAGTGTTATATAAATAAAAATGTCAAATATCTAAAATAGTATTTTTTTTTAATAAAAAAAAAATAAATTATTGATAGATTCTTTGTTTTATATATATATACTTTTTTTGTAAAATATAATAAAAATCTGTCTCCAAAATATTACTAAATGTGTAATACCCCAGTCGGCTCAAATTGGAGTAGT